GTGGTATGCGATATTCATTCTGAGTTTCTGTTATTGGATAGACCACCAAGCCTGTATTACTTGCATCATATTATTTGTTTCAACCTTTTTTTTTTTCTGAATTCATAGCTGTGTTAGAAACATCCACCATTTCTACAGTTTTGGAGAGTTTATACCAAATTTAATCCTTTTTTCATACAGCAAGGTTGCTAACTCCTTATATCCACCAAAAACCAGTTTTTTCATGGAAGTTAGTTTGCTTTAAGATTAAACATGTGGCATGTTAGGCCCCGTTTGGCATCAATTCTGGATATTCTCGTTCTCAGAATCCTTTCAAAAAAGAATGGATTTTGAGAATTTTCATCCAGAATTGCCAAGTGTGTTTGGCAGTCATTCGATTCTTGTTTCTCAGAAACAGAATAACGTTTGCCATCACCCCATTTCTTGGAATCAATTCTTTAGTTGACCGATATATAAAAAACATGTCAATTCTAATAAATATAAGTCCAACTGAAGCTCCATTGTACTATATTATATTTTTTTATGCAACAAAAGGATTGCAATAACCGAACATAGAAGTATTACACTGAGCTTTCCTGCTGCCATCAGTAGTGGTTACAATATTAAACTTGCAAGCATTGTAAGCAATATCATGAGCAACAGTATTAGATACTCTACTTATATGCTTAATACATATATGATCAAAAGACATCAGCAGGTTCATTTTCTGATCCATGAGGTGTTTTATCTCCCAGTCATCTGTAGTAATCTGATTAACTGTATTTACAACTCCTGCTGAATCACAAAAAACTAGCATCAACTTGATGCTTAAGCTCGAAGCCTTTTCCAGTCTCTCCATCATAGCCCACCATTCAGCTTGGGCAGCAGATGTGGCCAGGACTCTTCGACCTGTGGAAATTACAGTTAGATCCTTAGATAATAAAATGAATCCAATTGCAGCAGTCCCTGTAACAGGCATGTAGGCTCCATCAGTGAATAAAATATGGGAAGGATTTCCCCATGAATGAAAGTTGTGGATAGTTCTGTTGGGAGGATGGATTGTCTCTGGACTGAGGTAGGTTTCAGCTTTTTCTAACGGCTGAGTTGGGTGAATAATGGGTTGACCATGCAGCTTAGCATTCCTCATGTCCCAGATAAGACGAAAAATGACGAGGAACTTTGTAAAATAGAATTTGAATTGTGGGAGATGCAGTTTGGTATGGATTCTGGGTTTATTCCTGTTTGCGCTAGCATCCATATGGCTTTGTTATAATGACAAGAAGAGTTGGTCTTGAGGTTGTAGAAAGACCATCTTGTCCTTCTGTATAGCAGCCTTTTCCCCCTTTTAACTGGATAGACATATTAATTGAAGACTGCTGGGGCAGTCATCTATAGGTTCCCTCTGTATAGCAGCCCTTTCTTCTTCTAAGTGGACAGACCTGCCACTATACAAAGAAGTTATTTTGGTACCCAATCTATATATGCTATTTGTATCAAATTCATCCATCTTGGGATCAATTAGATAAAATAAGCTAAAATTTTAGCTCGATGGTAGTCTGACCTTATGTAGAAGTTACATCATTGCAAGATTGAAGAAGATGGCGTTCTCCATCTCTACCATGTGTAAGGAAGATATGGCTGATCCAAGTTATCCAATAGGTAGAGGACACTCTGGATCAGTCATGTGTTCAATCATGGGTTCAAGTCAGCTCTGTGCCCCTCCTTGGCTGATGGTTAGGACTCCACAACTATGTTTGCAATTGGTTTTCCCTTTAGGCTGTGTTTGGTTGGAATGCAAATGTAAATATGTACATTACATTTTTACCTATTTTTTGGTTCATGAATGTAAATACGATTTACATTTTAAACCGTTTTTGCATTTATCTTGTTTGCTTGAAATCGGTGCAAAAGTGTGGGTCCATCATTAAATGCTCCAACTATCTTATGCTCCAATGCATTAACTTTAGTCTTGAGTCAAAAAATTAATTATCAAAAAAAAAAAACACAAAATTGTATCCAAAAAATAGATACAGTAATGCTCTCTTCTTAGAGTAGAAAAGTGTCAGAAAATACATTTTTATTCTAATAATCATTACTTTTTTATGTTTCAAACAAATGCTCACAAATGCAAACTGGGGTACATAAATACTCCAATTCGGCATTTGTATTGCAAATAAACAGAGCCTTGGGATCAGTTTGGAAGGAGTACGAATACAAATATATACCATGCAAATACATACAAAATAGTACAAAATACAAGGTTTTGCACTTTACATATTTGTATTTGTACTCTTTCCAAACTGAGCCTTCGTGTATGGATTGTTAATAGTTTTCCTTGAGTGTTATTTTTCTTATGAGTAACAAGTAGATAATTAAATCCCCTGTTGCTCTGGTTTGAGAGAGAAAAGGGCGTTATATCTAGTTGTAATGAAGAGGGCATTCTGGTCTGGGTGTTCTTCGTTAAAGGTCCCAAACACGTTTTAACTTAACTCA